TCTCCCTCTCTTAAAAAAAAAAAAAAAAAAAATCAATAAAAAATCTTTTTTAAAAAGTTGTAGGAATATAACATGCCTTTTCAACTCAATAAAATTTCATCTATTTCCAAGATGGAAAGTTTTTCATCATGATGAAAGACATAAATCCTAAAGCCTTTCCAATTCCCCCACCCCAGTCAGATATAATTTTTGCTCCTATGCACTTCCACTACATTTTGTATTTTTAATAGTACTCTCATCCACTTAATAAAGCTTATTTTTAATGATTCTAATAGTAACACAGACACATTATTTTAAAAAAGTTTGAAAAAATAGAAAAGAATAAAGAAGAATATTACAATCACTTTTAAGTCCATCACCCAGACAACCACTGTTATCATTTTGGGACATTTTCTTTCAGTCTTTATACCTGTACTTTTTAAGAGAACTCAATCTGTATATACTGTTTAGTGTCCAAGTTAATTTTCCTCATGACACTATTTTGTAAGTATTTCTCCATCATTAAAAATGTTCTTACAACCTGATCTACTTAGTTTTATAGTTATTTGTATGCAAAATCTTATCATTCCTACTAGACTGTAATGTTCCAAAGGGCAGGGATAAGGTCCTCTTTGTGTTTCATATGTCCTTCATGGTATTCCATATGTTAAAGGCACCCCATAAGTGTTTATTGCATTAGCTAAATTAAACAGAATTTGTTGCAACATTCTTACAAAGTTTCATTATATAATAGGGGAGAAAAAACAAAAAAAGAAATTCATATACTACTAAAGATGAGTATCAACTATACCAAAACAGGAAATTCCAGCAAGGCATCCAGGTATTGCCTCCAGGGTTTGTGCCTTTCTCATCTCATTTTACAGGAAAACTATGAAAAGCCTATGAACTAGCTCTACGCAGACATGTAAGTGTAAAGGGACCAGATACAGTTGAGGTAGATATTTAAACACTTCAGTCACATTACTGGTCATTTGGCTCTCCAGTTCACAATCACAGCCAACAATTTCTCCCAAATAAATGGACTCTTTAAAGAGCTTACCTTTATCACAGCTGGTCCCTCTAACCAGCCAGCTGAGAAGCAAGTGAGGTGGAGTCAAGCATGTCTTCAAAGGGACTGTTGTGTGGCAGTCCCCAGGGACTTCTTGGTGATACTGTTATTACCAAACTGTTGCAGCAAAAAGCTCACCAAGATGCTCCACAAAACTTAGTATTTCTAATGGCTGTATTTTTTGGCCAAAAAAAGTGTTTGCAAGGAAACCTACACAGGGTGGCTGAAGGAAAAATGCCCCTCATTTGGTCTCCCTTCTTTTTTCAGTAACATTCTAGTCAGGAGATGGATCCTGTAATACAGCCAGTTTGACCCAGAGTAGCTTAATGGTGTCATTTTGGTAAGGGGACAAATATGCTATGTACTTTTCCAATCCCTTGAAATCCAACTCTTTCCCTAGATAATGCATTGCTGTCTCCTTTCCCTTCGCACTTTCCAGTGGCCCCACTGCCTCGCTGGCATCTCTGGGAAGGTCCACAAGCCACCAAAACTCCTTCACCCCCCAGAGGGTTTTCAGAATTCCCTAGCCTGACTGGATAATTTCAAGGCCACTATAATACTGGGAATGCTGCTTAATTTTGACCCATAGCCAAATGGAAGAGATGTATCTGTTGTAGCAGAGGTAGAGTGTTATTATAAAGAACAATAAAGGGATTCTCACATTAATCTAAACATTTCTTCAATACTTTCTATCAGGTAACTTCATTTTCTATTATTGATACTATTTCCGTCTTTCCCCTTTAATTTCACTTTTTTTGTAATAACTCTATTTCTGAATCACAGTTGAATTTTTTTTTGCATTTTACATTACATTCCTGCCACTTTATTTTTATCACAGACATATATACATTTTTTAAAGCATAAAACTGTATTATTTTAAATATTTGTGATTTTCACATATTAGGGTTCCTGCCAGAATATGGTCTTGATCCAAAACAAGGCTTAATTTTTAAAAGGACCCTTTCAAAACAGGCTTCAAAATCAGGACACTTACCAGTTTTAAAAACATCCTATCCCTGGTTTAAAATGACAAAGTATATCCTCCCACAACTATAACTCCACCAGAAATTAAAGTTTGGCAGCAGGTAAGAGGCATAAAGCTTCTCACACAAAAAACTAGCAAGAAAAACTTTATTCTCCTTTTTAGAAGGAAAGCAATCTAATGCCGTTGATTATAAAACTTCTCAACATTTTTATGTATTAGTTTGTAAAAGAATGCTGAATATTTTCTTTTCTTTCACGTCTTCAAAATCATAAAAAGTAATTTCAGTAAAGACAAGTTTAGGGCAAGAGAAAATGTGGCTGAGAAGTACTAAATTAAAGCCAGGGTCAGGGTTTTCCCAGTTAAAGTGTAGCTCTGGCCTGGAAGAAAAGCTCAGCACTTTGGGAGTTCTCAACCTGATGGATCAGTTCAGCTCTCTCGGATTAACGAACCTCCCCCAGGGCTCCCAAGTCCTATCTGCCCACTGCCCTCAAACCCCAAACCACGTAAGTGCTTCTGTAGCTAAAACGGCGAAACATCCTTACTTGATATACATTACTTCTATCAGGCTTAAAAAACCAAAAAGCCAAAAACAAAACCTGAATATAGGGCAACCGGGGCAAGTGCCCATAGTTCACGGATGGAGAAACTGAAATCAAATTCCACGGCCAAGGACGCAAAGCAATTTAACAGCAGAAGCCGAGGTGAAAGCCAGGGGTTCTGACTTCCAGGCCGGCTGTCCTCGCACTTTGGAGTCAGCTCGGTGAATCCCGACTTTAAATTCCTGGGCGTCTCTGGAACGGGCTGAGTCACCACTAAGTCCCTGCGTTCCCACTGAATTCTGTCAACTAGGGGCCGCACTCCCAACCGGGAGTAAATTCCAGAAAACCCAACGATCCTCGGCTGTTTACAGAGGCCCTGGACTTCCGGGAGAGGGCGCCAGCCCCGGGCTATATAAAGCGCGGCCGCCCTAACCCCGCGGGGGTCAGAGAGCAGCCCGGCGCCCCGGCCCTCGGCCTCCGCGCGACGCCTCGACC